TGAACTCTGACAAGTCAAAAGTTGATTAACTTCTTGGATTTGTAGAAATTTCGGCAGCGCTTCCCGTAGGAAAAGTAGCTTGCCAAGATTTATACAAAGCCAAGAATAAGAAAAGATCTCAGAAAATGCAGGAATTAACACTAACTCCTATGGCTCTAGCACGTGGCGAGCAACTACARCAACTACCTATAGTAATGAAACTTAAACAACCTCGTCATCTCATCCAGTCACATGCAAACCAAACCACAAATGTAAGTACTCTCACCACCCCAAGTTCATTCCATATAAATAGTTTGTGAATCTTCAAGTTCTTGAATCCTTATACCCATCTTACATAAGACATAGAGCTGGACCATTCATTATGGAAACAATGCCCAACTTGCCCTTATGACATACACGAACAGATTGCACAACTACTTCTTTCTTCTTTTGGGCAGATGACTAGGCCATTCGCCATGGAAACAATGCCTGGCCGCCCTGAGCTGTTTAATACCCAAAGATTTAGTATTTCTCTTACTTTGTTTTCAAAAGAAGAAGCAAATATAGGCAGGGGACTGAACCATTCACAGTAGAAACAATGTTCGCCTTGCCCAAACTATTTTCATTTATACTTTGTATTTTCTTTTTTTCTCTTCTTAATGATATGGCTTAACGCTGGACCATTCACAGTAGAAACAATGCCCAGCTGTCAGTTCACATGCAAATATATATAAAATACTTTCCTTTATACTTAGTTTAAATTATGTGCGTGGTTTTCATGCTAAACCATTCACCATGGAAACAATGCTTAGCCTTAGACCAAAAATCCTCCCTCAAAATAAACAAGAATTTAAACACCTTCAATCAGACAACCCTCACAGTTAGCTAAGGTAGCCAGGCCATTCACAGTAGAAACAATGCCTGGCTCCCTAGAAAACAATCAAATAAACACAGCGACCAGACAATTCACAGTAGAAACAATGCCTGGTCCTTCAGAAAACATTCAAATAAACATAGCCCTGAGTCATTCACAGTAGAAACAATGCTCAGGCTTTGGTTGACCCGGTCAAACGCATGCAGTCTACCTTCCTTCCACCTTCCTCCAATTCATTCTCAGTCTGCTTTCAATCAGAACAAAATAGAAACTTAGGCTTCACTCTCACACATTCTTTCCAGTTAGTCTGATTAGGTCCTGAAGAGAAAGCAAAAACCATAGGGACAAACGCATGCATACAACAATCATACTGCAGGGAGATAGGCAAACATGGGTAGTAGTGGGGTTTATACAGATAAAGATGATTTACCTGAAGGTTCCCTGCCTCCAAAACTCCTCTTGAGTTCCGGAAGAGCTCCCGCAATCGGTGGGTGGACTCCCCACAGAGTCTTGACGCGGACTTACGGGTTGCAATCCCGCCTCCCGCCTTCCTCTCATAACCAAGGACTAGACTTAGATTAAGAAGGGCAGGAAAAGCAAGATGTGAGTCTCTCAGATCCAAGAATGGTGCGCTCAGACTCGCAGGAGAGGGCCTTGGTATCTTATCACGCCTGAGGGCCCCGCAATGGTAGCCAAACAGTAACAGCTTGGCTCACCTCCAGAGTCAATCGGCCAAAGTCGGGCGCCCGTCGTCCCTCTGACCTATAGCACTAAACCCCTTACTCGCAAGGCCTAGTCATCTCCTCGAGACCCAACACTCCTCCGCCCGACTGCTGTCGCGGAACTGCCTGTAACRGTCACCATCGGTACGCAGCGACATATAACAACCCGCATCAACTGCCCGGGCACAGCCCATAGGTGCCGCAGCAACGCACAGTGGTGGTCAGCTGCAGTCTCCGCGCACAGTCCACAGTCATAACAATCAGACAGCACGGAGCAGCCACCCTGTGTGCAGTCTCCAGCGGCGGCAGCAGTTCATGCGTAGTACGTAGTGGCCAACCTCATCAGCTGTCCTTCTCTCCTGTCGAGGCAAACTCTCTCTCCCTCTTCTTAGCGCACCCGGTCAGTCTTTTTTATTTTATTTTTTTGCCAGGTAAGCATGTCTCGTTCCCTGCACACCCTCTCTTCCCGTGTAGTCACCCCCTGCTTCTGTCTGCAGGCCGGTCGTCACAACAACGAGCCCGACACTTATCAATTGGAGACTGTCTACCAGGGTATGYCGACCTCACTAACAACARTTCGGCCCCCTTCATACACCTTGATGGTCACATAGGGCCGGTGTGAGTCGATCGGAAATGTGGGTTACAACGGATGGCAGCGGCATTTATCATGGCTATACCGCCAGCCCCGCGGCTGACTTCGTACTGCCTGCCTCAGCAGTACGTGCGGAATCTGCCCCGCGGATATGGGTAGATTCACTCCATCCTTTATACAACGGCCGGCTATTCCTCCCGGGCGCAACCTCCCATAGACAGGTGAGTGCAATCTCGTCTTCTTCTCCCTCTGAGTCGAAATGAATCTATCGAAAAACTGCAGAAAGACACGCTACCATCCCGACGTTCTTTAGGCAAGCAAATTCGTTACGAATCTGCTGCCAAAATGAGGCTAGGTGCATTCGCACCTTGCCAACTCGTTTTCCAGTTCCCTCTGCTTACCCACTAACTT